AAACCTGCAAAATAAAGCCAGCAGTGGCTAATTCCGATGATTGTTGTAAAGATTCCACAAGTCACTGGGCAGTAGGTGGGCAGGACTGTCCGGGGCACATGAGATGCTAGAAGTGGATGTATGTGTTTTCTCCATGATTGTGGCTATTTGATTGTTTGAAGAAGAAAGTTGCCATTATAGAAGGTAGTGTAATAGCCAGACATGGTGTTACACTCCTTAAATCCCGGTCCTTGAGAGGGGATTAAGGGATATTAAGAGTTTGAGGCCAGTCTAGGCTACATAACAAGACCTCAATAAAAACAAAACAAAACAAGAAAAACTAAAAGCATGGTGACACAAGGCCTGTAATGCCAGCTTCTAGGTCATCTGTAATGCCACTACCTGAGGTCATCATTTTGTAAAAAAAACAAAACAAAACAAAACAAAACAAAAAAACAAAAAACAAAACCTCTCTCTGGGACTCCCTTGCTGGCTTGCTGCTTCTTACAGTCACAGAGTCCCACCTAAGTTAGACTCCCCAAACTCCAGTATCAATAGAATCTACTTTAGGAGGGTACATTGTGGAGACAGAGGCCAGCAAGCCTCCAAACAAAAACCCTGTCTCTGTCCTCACTGTATGTGGCTGTAAGAAAGGCATTGCTCTTCTGTGGTTCTCAGTTTTTATTCCTCTGTACAGAGGACAAGTGTTAGTGAGCGTGGGCTCTTATTAACTATGCTAACTACTTCTTTGTGCCCTGGGGCCCTGGGCAATGCCATCAGGATCAAGGGGGGGTCAGCTCAGGGCCTCATGAGGGGCCAATACCACTTGAGTAGAAGACCCAAAGGGCAAGGATAACCCAAGGCCCAAGAGCCAGGGCTGGTAGGAAGGGAGGCCTGTGAGCTCCAGCAGGGAGAAGGGAGAGGAGATTGGTGTTATTGCCAAGAAGCAGGACTAATGTCCCCCGCAGAGCCTCTTTTTGTCCTTGAAGTGGTTTTAGGGACTAGATAAGTCGGGCCAGGAACACGTGTAGAGGTGGTAAGTAGCAGGTTAAAATCCCAAGGTGGGTGGGTGGGGGCTACAGTCAGATTAGGGAAGGAGCTTGGACCACAGTGACCCCAAGACCCCCAAGAAGGGCTGGGGCTCCCACAGAATAATCATTCTCCACTTAGAGCCATTCAGAGCATCATCCCATGAATCTTCTGGGCTTCTATAAGTTCCAGGTTATTTTCAGGTAGAAGATGCCCATGCTACTCATGCTAAAATTGTGACACTTCTAACAGCCCCAGTTCACTAATCTTTAAGCAGTGATGAGGTGTCTGGAATGTGCGCCCATGCCTAGGCCAGGGGACATTTGTTGAACTTTTGCTGGGTGCTACCCAGCCATCTAGGCACTTTATGGTCAATCATCTTTCAAATGCTCATGGGACAATTGAGGGACAAAGACTACAAAGAACTTGCCTAAGTACTAAGTAAAGGTCTTGTTTACCTGCATCGCAAAAACCTCAAACAAAACCCAAAACCAGCCGGGCAGTGGTGGTGAACTCCTTTAATCCCAGCACTCAGGAAGCAGAGTAGGTGGATCTCTTGATTTTGAGGTTAGCCTGGTCTACAGAGCAAGTTCCAGTACAGCCAGGGTCACACAGAGAAACCCTGTCTCAAAAAACAAAAAAACCCCAAAAAACCCAAACTCAAACCCCAAACCAAACCAAACAAACCCCACCAAACCTCCCCCCCCCCCCGCGAAAACAAAAAACAAAACCCAAAATAAGGCAAAATGAAACTTGCCCTAAGATACACATCCAGTAAACGGTAGACTCATACTGAACAGCCTATCAGTCAGTGCATGTATCTGAGCCTGAGAGTGGGTGGAACTAAACTTGGACTTGTCTAGCCCTTTGTCTGGTGAGGCGTGCTGTCCTGCAGTGCCTCCTGGTGTCCACACTAACACATAGCATTTTCTGCCTTCTTTCCATTTGAGGCTCCATAATCCAACTGTCTCCTCATCTGAAGCTGTGCCTTCTTCTATTGTAGCCTCAGTTTTACATGACTGCTGAGTCCCCGGAACAAGGACGTCTGTTTGCTAGGACACCCCGGTGCGAGGCGTTTACCCACCAACCCCACAGTTCCCCAGAGTGTTCTTGAGTTCGAGCAGCAGGAAATATTAGATAGAAGGATTTAGATTGTGGAGATAAACAGACAGAAAATAAAGGACCATCTCAGACACCTGCACTCAGGCCTGTGGTCCTAATCATCCTCTCTATGAGGACCTGCTGGGTAAAGCCATGAGGAACCTGAAAATGGGCTCCCACACCCTCGTCAGCAAGGGAGGGATCCTCAGTGAATCTCAGGGGTAGTGGCCCAGGAAAAGAAAATGGAAAGACAAGAGGCGTAGAATCTCAGGGAACCTTCCAGCATTATTATTCCTCCCTGAGTGGAGAGAAGCTGTCACCAGGCAGGGACTGTGGCCTTACCAGCTAGCTCATTCACTCTCTCCAGGAACCTCTGGAGATGGCAGCACCAAAGTGGGTGTGGTATACCCTCAGGCCAGGGGGAAGAAGCCATCACACATCAGACCCTCTGCTCCTTGAGCTCCTTTTCGAATACTGCTCCCAGAGAGTCTTTCTTCCCCTTACCTCTGCATCCCATTAGTCATCATGTCTGATGACTGTCAGTCAAGAGCCCACCAGAAAGTTGGTGTGGTGGTGCACACCTGTAATCCCTGCTCCTGAAAAGCTGAGACAGGAGGTTTGTTGTGAGTTTGGGGCCTGCTTGGGCTACACAGTGAGTTTCAGGCCAACCTGGGCTACAAAGTGAGGCCTTATCTCAACAAAACAAAGGAGCCTACCAGCGGTTTCCACCTTGGAAAATGCACTGGCTCCTCCTTGCTTTCTCTTCTCAACCCTACTGTCCCATCCTCTCTTCTGCATAGCACATCTGTTCATATCACTCCTGGTTAGAATCTTTCCGGGGTCATCTTGCTCTTAAGTCCAAGATATGATCACAGTGAAGGCCCCCTGATAATCTAATGTCTGTCTGTCCATAGAGAGCAGTATTTCCTCATCTGTGTCTTCTTCTTGGCCAGTGGTTCTCAACCTGTGAGTCATGACCCTTTTGGGAGTTGAACAACCCTTTCACAGGGGTCGGATATCAGATATCCTGCATAGCAGATATTTACATTATGATTCATAACTGTAGCAAAATTACAGTTATGAAGTAGCAACAAAAATAATATTATGGTTGGGGGTCACCACAACATGAGGAACTGTATTAAATTATATTAAAGTGTATTAAAGGATTAGGAAGGTCGAGAACCACTGCTCTTGGCCCTTGCTCTTATTGTGCCTTCTGCCATGGATCCCCCTTGCCCCTTGCTCCTCATGTCTCCTGTTCATACTTTGGCCTGCCCATTTGAGTAACCTCTGCTTATCTTTCAGGTCTTGGCTTAGATGGCCCTCCTTCCCTGTCCCCAAGTCAGGCATGCCTATTTCTCACAGCTCTTGTGTCATCGGAAACATACACTGGGTCCCTCTTCATAGCTGTCAGGCTCTCTGTCAGCTTATGGGGACAAACTTCTTTGGTGGGAGGAGTTGAGAACAGCAAAACTTTAATGACATAGGAAGACCTCGAACCCACCCTAAGAAGAACAGAAAGTCATGGGGAGCTTTTGAATGGGGATGGTGGTGAAAAGGCTCAGAGCCCATCCGCTTTGTATCTCTCCTTGCTCAAAGGGACTTCCCAGAGCATAACTGCCCCAGTTACAAATGCTTTCCATGGAACCATTAGCAGCCATGATACAGTCTGACAGAGAAGCTCTTTGTGGTACCAGAGCTCATAGGATGGGATAGTGGGGACAAGGCAAGACACTGGGAAGTGGATCAAAATCTAGATTTGTTTTGAGTGTGTGCTGGGCATTGAATAGTTCCTCTTGCACACTTAGCAGATGCTCTATCACTGGGGTACCCCCTCCCCAGTCTCAAAATCCAGATGTTTTAAGGGAATGATACACTGATTCTGAAAAAGAACATAAATATCCTACTCTAAAAACCTGTGGCCTGAGTGGGCACTCTAGGGTTGTGCTGACCGCTGTACTGGTTCAGACCCTTTGTCTTGACCTTCACTGCTGTGTCCTGGTGGGTCCCATGAGGTGCAGGCAGATTGTTGTGATTGTCCTCTGCTGCTGGGAGGCAAGGGAAGAGCTCCTGCCCTTTGTCTATAAGCTTGCAGACCAGGTCCTGAAGCTAAAGACTGTATCTGGTGAGGGTGACCTTGCTGGGTTCTGTTCTGCCTTGTGCAGAAGCAAAGGGCAGTGAGTAGAGAGAAGGAGACTAGGTCCTGGTTGGAGACCTCTAGGTGCTAGGTTTGTTTGAAACTAGGGCCCCCTGTGCCCCAAGACTTCCACTTCAACAGAGCTCTGACTTTGGAGGTCACCTTCCTGGTCAGGGTGGACATCTGTGGGGGATGGAGCATGATTTTGGTGCCTGAAGGGTCTGGGTTCAAATCTAGAATCCAGGATCATAGATTCTGTCTGTCATTCATTTATGAAACACTCCCTGCCTCCAGGTCCTGCCTAATCTTGTCGTGGGTAACAGAGTGAGGTGATCTACTTCTATTTCCAGAGACTTTCTGTGGGAGGGACAATGACGCAGACACGGACGATGTGACCTCATGGTAGACTGGGTTCTAATGGGCACACATAGCCTAGAGAAGGCAGAGGAGGTTTCCCAGGAGAACAGATCCTCTGAAGAGCTTGAGTAATGTGCTGGATCTTGCCATAGAGCAAGGATTCAAGACACCCCAGGGGGAAGCAGGAGCTTATGCAAGGGTCCAGGGGCAGAAACCAGTGTGGTGACATTTCGATAGTGCACGCACCTGTCTTGCAGTGGCTGATGCTTTAAGGAACATGTGCTCACATCAGCCTGGTCCAGGTTAAAGTTTCTAGAAACAGAAAGAGGCTATCCTGCTGGGACTCCACTACTCTTTGTGTTGGCCCCAGTCAGGAAGGTCCAGGTAGGTTCTGGCCTCAGAGTTCCTCCGGAGATTTCCTGGTCTTCTGCTGTTGGTGCCACTCTTGGATTTTTCTGGGCAGTGTCTCCGACCAGAACTGTAGCCGGTTCTTCTTTAGGTTCACCCCAGTCCGTGGTTTTAGGCCAATCTCCAAGTATTGTTCTAATTGGTTTAACTGGGGCCAAGAAGGCAACCCCTTGCCATTGGGGTTCCTGGGTGAGAGGAACAAGTGAGAACCAAGGGTTGATCCTATGCCCTGGGTAGGGGCAGATATGAGGCCCCAAGTCTGGCATGTGCTACCTCCTACTCACCCTGTGTATGCAAACTGGGTCCATTGGGCCATCATGGTCAGGCTTAGCTGCTTCTCTTCCTCTGTGGCCTCTGGGAAGGCTGGTAGGAGGGACAGATCTGGATCAGGGTCAGGTGAGGCTTGGACTATGTCCAAAGGTCCCTGGTACAAACTGAAACCTCTGTTCCCAAAAGACCACCTTGGGGCATTGTAGCCTAGGGATTGAATGTTTGTCTGTCCTTACCCAGGAGGTTGCTCTCATCTGTGAGGAAAGGACCTCCAAAAATGAAGGGACTCTCGGACCCATGGTCAGCCTTCACCCAGGCTGGCTTGAACTTTGCAAAAGAACTGGGTGTATGCTGGAACTCGTACAAGAAGACAGGGCACCCGGCATCTACAGAGATGGCAGGATTCATGTTAGGTGCCCACAGTTAAATCAGGGCATCTGGCAGCACAAGCTTGCAATGACATCAGTCATCATCATCATCATCATCATCATCATCATCATCATCATCATAATGGTGCAGACCAGAGGTAGACAGCGAGCATTCCTCAACTCTCCTCTGACTTACTATGTAGCCAAAGATGACCTTGAACCCCTGATCCTACTGTCTCCTCTTCCTAAGTGCTGAAATGGAAGTCAGCACATCCTGCCTGACTGAGACCTCTGTGAGCTGTATCATTTGTTCCACACTCAGGATAACCTTTAGATCAGCGGTTCTTTTTTTTTTTTCTTGGTTTTTTCGAGACAGGGTTTCTCTGTGTAGCTTTGTGCCTTTTCCTGGAACTCACTTGGTAGCCCAGGCTGGCCTCGAACTCACAGAGATCCGCCTGGCTCTGCCTCCCGAGTGCTGGGATTAAAGGCGTGCGCCACCACCGCCCGGCTAGATCAGCGGTTCTTTTTTTTTTTTTTTTTTTTTTGGTTTTTCGAGACAGGGTTTCTCTGTGTAGCTTTGCGCCTTTTCCTGGAACTCACTTGGTAGCCCAGGCTGGCCTCGAACTCACAGAGATCCGCCTGGCTCTGCCTCCCGAGTGCTGGGATTAAAGGCGTGCGCCACCACCGCCTGGCTAGATCAGCGGTTCTTAACCTGTAGTTCGAAACCCTTTGGGGGTCACATATCAGATATCCTGCATATCGGATATTTGCATTACAATTCATAACAGTAACAAAATTACAGTTAAGAAGTAGCACCGAAATAATTTTGTGGTTGGGGGTCATCATAACATGAGGAACTGTGTTAAAGGGGCAAAACTTTAGGAAAGCTGAGAACCACTGCTTTAGGTTAACCTCCACTATATTCTCCCTTGACATGTGGTGAAAGTGAAGTCCAGAGAAAACCTCTAAATCTTGCCTGAAGTCACAAGGTTAAGAATCGGGGCTGTTATAGGACTGTGCCAGGGTCGGGGGAAGCAAGACTTCTCCCAGGAGAAGTACTTGAAGAGAACCAAGTTTCTCACCAAGTGAATGATTCCCCCAAGAAAGACTTAGTGATGAGCCCTGCTGGGTGACCTTTGGTAAGTCGCTTTAGCTCTCTGAACCTCTGTTTCATCTGCAAAGTACTCTGCCAGAGGTACCACCCACTTCTGTGATGCTGCATCTCAAAGAAAAAGGGCTTGGAGGTGGCAGCAGGTGTGGGATGCAGGGCATGAGGGGACTCTGTACCTATCAGCAGCTACATCATCGCCTGTGATGGTGCAGGGAAGTCAGGGCAGGTGGCAAGGGCTGGCTTACCTTGGAGGTGTCTTGAGAAGTTCAAGGTAGGAATGACGAACACGATATCGCCTAGCAGTTCCTGGAAGGCATACCTTGTAGCTGGTCCGTCTGAGCCATTGTCTAGGTATTCATCTATGACGGTGGACACAATCTCAGGGGGCATATCCTGGAGTGAGAGGTCAGGCTCAGGCCTGTTCAGGTTCCACAGCTTTGGCCAACTTCCTACAGATGGTCACATCCTCTACTGTAGGTCCTTTCACATCCTGGGGCTCATGCTCCAGGGGACAGCTATCCACCCCCTGCCTCCCTGGGTGTTTTATTAATAGATTGTGTCTGGGTAGGATAAGCTCAAGTGTAGAGTTAAGTGTTAGCCCTGCGGCCACTGTCAGCCCGACATCAGGAGTCTGGACTACTCTGAAAGTCAGCGTCTGGTAAAATTCTTTGGAAGCCTATGTGAGGTCTGCAGCACCGAGTGTGGTCTGGGAGCAGATGCTAGGTAGAAGCTAACCGGGAATAAGCAGTAAATGGGGGCGCCTCATAATTCCAGAAGGCAGCAATGAGGCCGTATGAAGGAGAGGGCTCTGGGGTTTCCAAAGAAGAGAGCACACATAAGTGCTGCCTGGGTATCTAGTCAGCTCTTCACGTGCAGTGCCCACTCTCCCTAGGAGAGCTCAGGTGAACAGGAAGCATCCTCTCCATTAGAAGTGGAGCTGTGGGCTCAGAGGGACTGGGAGAACTGGACAAGTGACCAGGGCTAGGATCTGTCTGATCCCAGGTCCCTCTAGCTCCATACCTGACAATGAGATCTTAACATTTGTGCTCTGGGGTCACTTTTCTTATCTGTGCAACAGGGGTACTGACAGTTTCTGCTTCACAGAGCTGCCATGGGAACCAAAGAAGATGGATGCCTAGCTGTATGCTGAGCATGACACAGTCCTGGGTATGTAGGGTGTGCTCCTGAAGGGGTGGTCTCCATGGGGACAACCTTCGAGAACCATACTATCTCAAACTAATGTTTTTTTAGACAAAGTCTCACTCTGTAGTCCAGGCTAGCCTAGAACTCACTTTGCAACCCTTTGGGTGGCCTTAAATTTTCTGTAATTTTTCTGCCTCAACTTCCTGAATGCTGGGATGATGGTCCAGGGTTACCACTCCTGCCTGGTCTCTAATTTTAATGGAATTAAGACTCATCAACTGGGCTTTGGGAGTGGATCAGAGAGTGCTGTATGAAGTGCCCAGCAGCCCCTCCCTCCTTTTTACCTTACCATAAGGGCCAAGAAGGGCCTTGAAATCTCCAGAAGTTCCTCCTGGCTCAAATGTTCCAGCTTATCCAGGATATTCCAGACCTGTGGGGACAGACATCAAGGTTCTCTCAGTACAGCTCAATAGCTGTCCTCCATCCTCAGGCCTGAGCAAGAGGGCATTCCTAGGCCAGCATTTACAAACTCATGATAGAGCCATGGGTAGTCAAAGCCAGAAGCACACAAACATAACTGAGAAAATTCTGATTGCTAAGAATGGAGGTGCCTAGGACAGTGGCATTGCATACGTCTGTCAGAGGCTCATGGCGGTATCATCAGGGAGGAGAATATTTATTTAATATTTTTCTTCTTTTGTATCTCTGTGTACATGTATTTGCGTGCACATATGTGTGTTTGTGTGCACATGTATGTATTTGTGTATACATGTATGTGTGTGTATGAATATGTGTGTGTGCATGTGTGTGTGTTTGTGTGAACATGTGTGTGTCTGTGTGCACACGTAGCATGTTTGTGTACGTGTGTGTGTGTGCGCGCGCGCACGCGCGCGCAGGTCATAAGTTGATGCTGGTTGTTTTTCTCAATCTCTTTCCACCTTATTTTTTTTTTTTTTTTGGTTTTTCGAGACAGGGTTTCTCTGTGTAGTTTTGCGCCTTTCCTGGGACTCACTTGGTAGCCCAGGCTGGCCTCGAACTCACAGAGATCCGCCTGGCTCTGCCTCCCGAGTGCTGGGTCTTTCCACCTTATTTTATGAGTCAGAGTCTCTTACAGAACCTGGAGTTGGTCAGGTTGGCTAGACTGGCTGAGCAGTGAGCTGCAGGATCCCCCTGCCTCTACCTTCCCAGCACTGGGATTATGGGCATCCAGTGCCATGCCTGGCTTTTCTATGGGTGTGCTGGGGATGGAGCTAGGGTCCCCCATGGTTCACCTCAGAACCTCATGGGCACTAGTTAAAAACATCACATTACCTGGTATGTTGGCCCATGTCTAATCCTGGCACTTGAGAGGCTGAGGCAGGTGGTCACATAGTGAGTTTAGGAGAGCTGAACTACATGATGAGACCCTGCCTCAAAACAAGAAACAAGCAAACAAAGACCCCAGGCAATAAAATCAAATGTTGGCTCTATATCTTACAGGTGATTTTGTTTTTGAGATAAGAGCTCATGATATAGCCCAGGTTGGTCTCAGACTTGAGACACTCCTACCTCTGCCACTTGTGTGGATTACAGTGATCTGTAATCCATCTGACTTAGATGATCTAGTTTTAATAGCACCTGACATCTGACTTTTTGAGTTCAAATACCAGGTCTACCACTTACTAGGTTCATGAAGTTACTTGAACTTCTTGTGCCTCCGTTTTCTAATCTGTGAACAAAATGTCAGTGATCTGCCTCCTAGGATCCTTGTGGGACTGAGTTCATGTATGTCCAGGCCCTGGCACAGAGAAGCCAATTTTTGTGGTGGATTGATTTTCAGTGGAGGATGTCAAGACAAGAAGCCTTTTGTTTCTTTTTTGACAGCATGGCGTCAGTTGAACAGAGCACTACACTGTGAGCTGGTGTGGCCCATACTAGTAGCTGCTCAAACCACAAAGTGAAGAGACACGATGGACTCTTCCGTTGTGAGAGGTTTCATCCACCGCAAACAATTGATGGCTTAAGGGGTAGGTTCAGGGGCAGAGTACTTGGCTAGCATGTGGGAAAACCTGTGTTTGGTCTTCAGCATCATTGGAGAGAGAGAAAAGTTTCTGTGAAGACGAGTAGACAAGTGAAAATGGCGGGATGAAGCCAGGTGCCCAGGAGTACAGCATGGTGGAGCCGCTCTTATGGGTACTGTGTACACAGACTGGATTAGAAGGCACCTGACCCATCATGTCCCCAGCGGCTGAGTGCTGTTGGAAACCTGGGAGTCTTCGTCAGTCAGTCTCTCAGGCCAGTCTCTCACACTCCCCCATTGCTCAGAACAGCATATATCAGCCAGCCACCATCAAGAATGCTCTGTAGGTTAGCACTTCCCAGAAGACCACTTTGCAAAAGCTGGGTCTTCAACACAGGGAGCATTTGCTTGGTGAAATGAAGCTGAGTGGCCTTCACCCTCAGCTTTCTCACTTACCAAATGAGAGTGCCTGGATGCTTGGAGCATGACTGCTGTGGTGACAATGTGGAGAAGACTGTCCGGGCAGGGCCTTGATGAGCACAGGTGCCAGAGGACACTCACCTTGAGTATGAGCCAGCCAAACTCATGGTTGTTGAATCCCAGGAGGTAGGGCACAGTGGGGAATTGCTTCTCTGTTAGGAGCTTCTCCGGGCTTCTTGGGAAGAAGGAGTCGTTGATTATGTAGGAAATGTTCACATTTTTCTGCAAGAAAAGCAAGTCAGGAGGCCGACTGTCAGGACCCAGCCTACTGATTCCGCAGGAACTGGACAGGACCCCTCTGGCCACTGTCTGTCATCATCCCCCAAGAGGTGACATACCTGCTTGTTAAGGTCCCTTCCTTCCTTCTGCAGCAGACACTGCACCAGCTCAGCCGAGGATACGGCGCTGCAGGCCAAGGAGCTGGCAAAGGTCTGAGGACAGACAGAAGAATGTTGCCTCTCAGACACACACCCTTCACCTCTCGAGCATTCCTCTTTGTACTGAGCTGTGATGTCACTGTCTGGATCCAAGGCTAGCCCAAGAGACCTGCTACCAGCTTATGGGGGCTGATCCCTGTTCCTGTGTACCCTTCATCTGTCTGAGACTGTGTCCTTTTCTAGTTTAGTAATAGTTTTTGGTACCAATAAGGACATGCATGAACATGTCTGGCAGGGAATGGAAGGGGTGCTGAGTTTGGAGCAGGGCTGGGAGGTTGGAGGGATGGCATCCAGAGGGACAGCAGAGGTCTGAAATTTGTGGTAAGAAAATCTCTCCCCTCTGTAGTGAGGTTAGGGGTATGCTGCTGCTCTTGGGCAGACAAGGAGCAATGTGTCCTGCTGAGGTTCCTGAATAATCCCTCAAACCCAGTGTTATTGCTTACTCCATCATCACAGCCAGGGCCTAGGACCAGCTGAACTAACGATAGGTCCAGCCTCTCATTACTCACCCCATCAGTGTCTCCAGAGCTTGCCTAGACTCTGCCTTCACCGTCTCCCTGGCCTTGGACCTCCAGATTGCTCTCTCCATTCCACCTTCCACTCCATGTGGCTTAGATTTGTTTCCCTGCCTCTTCTAGCCTTTTGCATCCTGCCCAAACTCTCAGGCATGGTCTTTCAGGTCTCTGTACTACCCTCCACTTCTTCAGTACATTCTACTTGCCCTGGCCCCTACCTGATGGCTTCCTGCTTCTATGACCCATCACGTTGTCTTATGCCCGAAGTTTTTACATGCACAGTTCCTATTAGGGAAGTTCTTGGTGGCTTCTTCTGGTTACTCCTTACAAGGGGACAAATCTCACAGACAACAGTGTGGCTGGGAATGGAAGGCTCCCAGAGGATCCTTGGGGAAAGGAGAGATCCCTAAAAATGCCCCCAGGGAAAGACCGGAGATAACCTGCTCAGGGGTGGCCTTCTCCAGAAAGCTATGTCTGACAGTCTACCTCCTGGACTGCATTAGTCATCGCCTCCAAGCCTATTGGTGACTCCTTAGTGGTTACTCCTTCCTCTCCAAACCTGACCTACAGGTTAGCACAGAGTAGGTTTTGAGGCACAACACTTAGTATAAGAGAGTGAAGGAAAGGCAGACCTGAGCTTCAGGCCATGGGTTCATCTCCTTCAGTATCTTGCTGTTGATAACCCCACTCTGGGATATGGCTCTGTGGAAGAGCCCCGCAGACATTGGAGACAGGACCTGGGAACAGCAGAGAGAACAGATGATGTCAGCAGTCAGAAGAGCTAGGAGGTCTGGGGCCACAGACGCCCTCTCAGACCTGGCCACAGTTGCTACTTCTCTGTGATAACTCACCAGGGACGAGACGATAATGCCACCAGCAGAGTTACCGAAGATAGTGACACAGTTGGGATCACCCCCAAAGGGGGCTATGTTTCCCTGCACCCAGCGTAGAGCAGCTACCACATCTAGGAGGCCACGGTTGCCCGGCATGTGCTTGTCCCCGGTGCTAGGGGCAGGGCAAAGCAGTGATTAGCACAACATAGTTCCCAAGATGTAATTATTTTTTCTTGCACTCTGCAAATTTGCTTTGAAATCATTCACCAGGGCATTGGGCACTCCTCTGCTCCCTGATCTTGCCTTGGCTATGAGTCACCACCGGCACCTGTTTTTCCCAGTATATGGTGTGGGCAGATGTAGCAATGCAGTCAGTCAGAGCTGGCTCTCAGATGGAAAATAGAGTTTGTTGCTCTTTGTCCCCATTCCCTGCTAAGGCTCTTAACTCCACCCTTTACCCAAGTTCAATGTTCAGATCTGGCTTTGATTGGGCCCCTTCCCATCATGGAGCCCTGGGATATTCTTTCCCTCTCTCTCTCCCTCTCTGTCCCCTCCTCTTGTGTGTGTGTGTGTGTGTGTGTGTGTGTGTGTGTGTGTGTGTGTGTGTGTGTGTGGTGCATGCACATATGAACTCCTGTTAAGTGTACACACATGGAGGCCAAACATCAACATTAGGCATCTTGCTTAACTGCTTTGCTTCTTAGTTTTTGAAAAAGGATCTCTATTTGAGTAGTTAGTGCTGAGATTACAGACATATGCCGTCATACCTAGCTTTTATATGGATGTTGGGGACTCCAATTCATGTCTTTGTTTGTATGGCAAGCAAACTTTACTGGCTGAACACCCTCCTCTATCCCTCCACCCTTAGATTCTTATGAGAAGGCCTTCCTCAGGGCTACAATGTCCTCTTCCAGGCTGGCTATCTTACCTGAGGAAGCCAAAGATCCCAAGGCGGTACTGGACAGTGACTACTACAACATTCCCATAGGCAGCCAGGGCTGATCCATCATGGGAGGTGGCAGAACCAACTACCAGAGAGCCCCCATGGATCCATACCATGACCTGTAGAAATGGCTATGAATCAGTGACTCCAGCTTCTGGGACTCCAGTCACCCACCTAGCTGCCTAGGGTATTCTAAGGACTTTTGGGGTGTTTAGGAAAAGGGGGTATAGAGGGGCAGATGGCATGGTCGAGCTGGATGTGGGGGGGTCCTCTGGACTGTATACCGGCAGTCTGGCCCCTGCAGTGGCTTCAGTGGGGCTGTAGATGTTGAGGATCAGGCAGTCCTCAGAAATAGAGTAGATCTGAAGCTTTTCGTTGAGGGTGAATCTGCTGTTGCTCATTCTCTCTACATCCTGCAGGCACCTGCAGCCAAAGGGGATCCCAGGGCCAGCTGTCAGCTTCACACACCCTGGTGTCCAGCTGTTGCCGCCACCCTGCCCTCTAGCCCACCTCCTGCAGGGGTACTCACATTGGGGGATTGGTGCTGGCATCCCTCACACCTTCCCAGGGCTGTGGTGGGAGTGGGGCTGAGAACCGCAGAGGGCCTACTGGTGCCTGAGCAAACGGAATGCCCAGGAAGACATTCACCAGGTGGTCTGTACCCTTCACACCCACCTGCCGGCCTCTCACACGACCCAGGGGGGTATCCACTTCAGGCAGAGGGACTTTGGGTCCTGAGATCGGGAGAGAGGGGTCACTGGGTGAGTCTACAGCCTCCACGAGGGGATGGATGAAGGCTGGACTTTTAGAATGAGGGAACATTTGTTTCTCCAGTGTCTATTTTGTGGAGTTCTATTCTGAGTACTCTCCATGCAGTATCATGGTTGAGCTCTCCCGCAAGGGGTTGTCTTCATGATTACTATTCGTTTGTTTTTGAGAAAGTTCATTCTGGCCTTGAATTTGCTACACAGTGGCTAGCTTTTAACTCCTGATCCTCCTGCCTCTACCGCTCCGTGCTAGGATTACAAGTGTGTGTTAGCACATGGCTCCCGTCTCTGCCGTTGTCCCTGACTTCCTCTTTTTCACCTTGTGTCGCAACCTCTAGGCTTAATCAGACCTGCTGCCCACTGAAACCTCAGGTTACTCACATGCTAACCACGGTATGATAGTCAGCCTTGTTACTTTCTGTGTCCAGATGCCGTGACATCTGGAGCCTGGTTGCTTTAAGTCCGCTTGGCCTGTGTTGCTTACTCTTGCCCACTTGTGAAAACAAGAAGGAAGTCTCCCCCAGTTTCCCCTTACTTGTTCTGTCTTCTGGTGGCTTCCCTGTATGGCCTCACGGGGTGACTCGTACCTCCGTTTTTCAGGGAACTGTGAGTAAGCTTCCTATATGACACTCTTGGTTGTCTTACCAGGACTGATTAAAATAAGTCTTGTGTCTCTTTAAAACATAAGGATAAGACTGGGGCTATAGCTCAGTGGTAGAGCTTGCCTAGTATGTTAAGGCCTTGGGTTCAGCCCCTAGAAAATAAATAAATACCATCACCATCACAACCCCTCATCTCCTCATGGATCATACAGATACTAAGACCCCTGCTCAGAAGGATCCATAGTGCCTGCATTCTTCTCTACTGGACCCCTTCCCTGAGAGGGCTGCTCACTCTTACTGGTCCCTGCCTCACTGTCGTCCCCTCCTTCCTCAGGTTTCCTACCGAGCCAGAAGCCCCACTTCACAGGTTCAGGGAGTTTGTCTTACCAGTGCCGGTGGCAGGAAATGCCAGGAGTAGACAGGCCACCCAGACTAGGACACTGGACCCAGCTTGTGCCATTGTCCCCATATTTCTCATAACTGACAGTAGAAGAAGCTGTGAAAAGCAAGAGAGGATTTACCTTTTATAGCACCTTTTATCTTGTAAAAATTAACTTGGCCCGCCCTAATTGGTTGGCGGCCAGCTCTGGAGTTAGGTGTGCTCTGGCTGCTCCCAGAGCAGAATAAGGAGTGTCTTCTGAGAGGCCTGATGATAGGGCGTCCTCTGGTGTTCAAACACCAGCTCCAGCCTGGCATGATGCTGCACTCTTAGAATTGCAGTAGCTGAATTCCAGGTCAGCTAGACTCTGAGTTTCCTGTAATAAGGCTCAAGTTGAATTCCTATTCCCAGAAGGAGGACTAGGCAAGTGGAAAAGAGGAATCATTCCAAGCAAGACTGAAACCCAGAAGCACCAAGACTTCTCTAAGCCCAGCCCCTGTACACTGTGATGAGGCATGGCTCCAAGGTCCACTGCTTTCCTGGTATATGTTGGTACTTTTTATAGGCTTATGTGTTGGGGTTTACAACTTTTTAAGCCTAGGTGGCATTTTGCTCTTTTCTCTACCTTTATAGGGTCCCCAGGTAGCCATTTTGGCTCCATTTAGGCATTACTCTATTGAGAGAACCCCAAAGGAACTCTGAGCCTGCAGCAAAATTCTGCCTGGCTTCACTCTTTGAAAAGCTACCAAGCTATCAAGACCCCTCCCTTATTGGCATTCTGAATATGCATAGTCCCAGTGCCATATGTCCACCATGAAGGTCTGCTGAGGGTGTATGGCCTGAGCCTGCTTGGGCCATGACTGTAGCTGCTGGGTGTGTCCCCAGGATATTGGAATCCTGAGGAGATCATGTTCAATGAGTTTGTAGAAGGAATCCCAGCCCAGCCTTTAACAAAGAACTAATAGTCTCTTGACTGTTATTATAGGAGGGGCGTCATTCATGATTTCTGACATGTCCACAAGGCATCTTTTCTATTATTCTAAAGAGAATATATAGGTATGTATGTGTGTATGTTTTTTAAAAAAATATTTATTTTATTTTATGTGTATGGATGTTTTCCTGCATGCATATCTGTGTACCAGGTATGTACAGTGTCCTCAGAGGCCAGAAAAAGGCGTTGGACCCCCTGGAACTGGAGTAAAAGAGGGTTGTACGTTACCGTATGGGTGCTGCCAATCAAATCCAGGTCGTTCGGAAGAGCAGCCAGTGCTCTTAACCACTATGCTTTCTCTTTAGTGCCCTAGATGGATTTTTTTAATACAAGGTCTCACAATTAGCCCAGGCTGGCCTCAGACCCATGCTCTTCTTCCTTTCACATCCTGAGTGCTGTACAGGTATGCTCCTCCATGTTTTGTTTAAGCAGGAAGTTTAGAGGCACGTTTGCTCAAGGTCAAATAAGCAGAGGCATTGCCAGTAAACTACAGAATTTCTTACACTGTATGCCATCTTCTTTGCCTCATCCTTGCTACATCTGAAATTCGTGCATGGACACCAGCCCCAAGTCTCCTACCCACCTTCCTTAGGCTAGCTCTTCTGCACCTCCGGCTTCTACTTTATTTTTCCCAACAGCTGCAAACTCACCCTCATCTAAGAAGTATCCTGCACAGATTTGGGGATGCAGCTCTGTGGTAGAATGCCTGCCTCGCACATGTGAGGCCTCAGTCAATCCCTAGCACCACAAATGAACAAAATGATATTACACTACCCAAACTGCTCTTTGTTCCGTTTTCTCTCTTCTTTACAGCAAAGTGAAAATCATCTTCTGTTGTGTCTCTCCTTTCTCTCCTTCTAGTCTCCTCTAGAAGTTTCCTTTCACCTAATCAGCAAGATCAGATGAGGCTGGGAAAGGAGGATCCTGCAGGAGTGTGGAGCAGAGAAACCCTGCCTCTGAAACTTCCCCAAGATGCCAGGAACACTCCACACTCCTGCAGGAGTCACTATAATCACTGTGCTAGCAGGCACAAGTCCAGTAGAGGTGTTGGGGGTGAAGATGAGGGAGCAGAAAACTGTGACTGGAGCAGCCGACAGGAAGGTGGAAGGTGGAAGCAGAAGCTGAAAGTCTAGCAGGGTGAACAGTTAGGATGTCCACAGGTGGAGAAACAGAAGTGACCTTTGGTCGGTAAAGGGAATTGTTTGAACAAAGGCATGTACGTATGTTTACGCTGAGTGAGCCTTTCATCTTATTAAGGAAAATACCACCTTGTTTTCAGGACTCATAGCTGCCTAGGACCTCACTAATGGTTCCCCACTCTTTACAGTTCATGGTCTGAGATTCAGCACAGCACACTCCTACTTAGTTACGGCTCTTTTTCATTTGAAATGCATTGGAAACCAGCACTTTCCAAGGTCCCTCACTCCATAGTTGAAATCCAGTTCAAGGCCACTTACCTTACTTGGCAAATCTTTAAAATTTCACTTCCTACTTTTAGAAGGCTGTGAGGATTATAAGTAACCCAGGCTGTGCCCAGGAGCCTGAGTTCCTTGAGGAAGTGACGTGGGGCTCAATCCTAAACAGCCTGTAATGCCCCCTGAAAACTGGCCATGGCCTCTGCATCCGAGCTTTGCAGGTGTTGAGTCCAGTGCTGTCTGGGTCCCTTCTCAGTAGCTTCATAGGCATATTTAGCACTTACCCTGACCCGAGGAGTCAGCACACAGTGCTCACTGCTTCTCCTTGACTCTACTGTTCAGCGTGGCCTGTTGTCAAGTTACTATCTCTTCTTTAACATGCTCTGGTTCAAATCAAGGTTTCAGCCCTGCCTGACCAATTCACACTCTGCTCTTAAGTCCCTGACCTAATAAACAATCGGGCTGTGGGGGCTGACAGGTCCCAGCCCTGTCAGCTCAGGGTCAGAGAACTAGTTTCTTTCTCCCTTCTTTCCTTCCTTCCTTCCTTCCTTCCTTCCTTCCTTCCTTCCTTCCTCCCTCCCTCCCTCCCTCCCTCCCTCCCTCCCTCCCTCCCTCCCTCCCTCTCTCTCTCTCTCTCTTTCTTTCTTTCTTTCTTTCTTTCTTTCTTTCTTTCTTTCTTTCTTTCTTTCTTTCTTTCTTTTCCTGCCTGCCTTCCTGCCTTTTTTTTTTTTTTTTTTGGGTTTTTCGAGACAGGGTTTCTCTGTGTAGCTTTGCGCCTTTCCTGGAACTCGCTTTGGAGACCAGGCTGGCCTCGAACTCACAGAGATCCGCCTGGCTCTGCCTCCCGAGTGCTGGGATTAAAGGCGTGCGCCACCACCGCCCGGCTCCTGCCTTTTTTTTTTCAAGACAGATTTTCTCTGTGGAGCCTTGGCTGTCCTGGAACTCGCTCTGTAGACCAGGCTGGCCTTGAACTCACAGAGATCCGCCTGCCTCTGCCTCTCGAGTGCTGGGATTAAAGGCGTGCACCACCACTGTATGGCTAGTTTCTTTATGTTAACTGAACAGTCCAGTACTTCTTCTTAATCCTGAGCTACCACATGCCATAGCTCTGCCGTACACTGCACCATCTTTCAGAGACCCTGTATCACCAATGTCCAAGACCAGAGTAAACAAGTGGAATAAAGACAACTTTTGGGGGCATTTCTGTGGTGTGTGCATGTGTGTGTGCAACTCTGTGTGTGTGAATGTGTGTATGTGTGTACATCTACAGAAGTGGGGTATAGAGAAGATGATTCAGGGAAACATCTGCAATGAGACACCACTGCATGCCCATCCATCATAATCAGATTTAAAACCATGAAACCATGAGACATGGTGTGGTACACACTTGCAATCTTAACACTTGGTAGGCTGAGAGAGGACATGGAGCAGCCGGCAGGGGATTAAAAGAGTCTTGGAAGACAGTTGGGCAATTTTTTAAAAAGTTGAATGAACACACGTTATATGGCTCGGCAGGTCCACTCTCAGTTTATCTCAAAGAGATGGAGTATTACATTTTGCCTACACAAAGTCATTAATAATCCCTGCCCCCGTCCACTCAGATGCATATGAGTTGGTGAGAGGGTAGAGTGTGGAGCGAACATACATGGAATCCACTCTGCAATAAAAGGAGTGAGCTGCTCCCTAAATCTCAAAAGCATTAGAGGACAGAGCCCGGCACAAATGACTCTTTTTGCATTACGATGGACAAGGCAAACTTGCAACAATGGAAAATGGTGAGGTGGTTGCCAGGGAGCAGAGTTCAGGGAAATGATTAACATAAAGGGGCGTGGGGGGACTTTTTGAAGAGAGAGAAACACGATACGTAGGCGGGGGTAGGTACACGCCTTAGTTATTCAAATTAAAACTTTAAAATGGTTGCATTCAAATGTGTGTAAACATTACACAACAAAACTCTTACAAAATAAGGCTACCAGAAGTCTAAAAAGTGCCCTGGGCACCCCGCCTTTGGTGAAGTGCCCTGCGCATTAGCGGAAATGAAGTCCGCTCAGGTGCATCTGCAGCCAGCCCTACAGCAGGCTGAGGGGAAGAGCGCTTAGTGCCCGAGCCCAGGCTGAATGCTGCCCTTGCCTGCCCCCTGGTGTTCAGGGTGGGCAATGCAGGCACTTCATTTTCTTTTTTAAACGTTAATTAATTAGTTCTATGTGGTTTTTTACATCATGTATCTGGATCCTATTCATTTCCTGCCCCTTTGCATCTGTCCTTTACCCCTGCATACTCCCCAAATAGAACAAAATTTAAGAGAAAAAGGAAAATAATAATAATAAAAAATAAAAAAGAGAGAAAAACTTAAAAAAAAAATCTCGTCATGGCTGCTGACCTGAGCTAGTGGGACCAACAGCTAGGGAGCCTGCGTGGGACTGACCTAGGCCCTCCACATGTGGGTGACAGTTGTGTAGCTTGATCTGTTTGTGGGGCCCCTAGAAGTGGGATCAGGACCTGTCCCTGGCACATGAGCTGGCTTTTTTTTTTTTTTTTTTTTTTTGGTTTTTCGAGACACGGTTTCTCTGTAGCTTTGGAGCCTGTCCTGAACTAGCTCTGTAGACCAGGCTGGCCTCGAACTCACAGAGATCCACCTGTCTTTGCCTCCCGAGTGCTGGGATTACAGGCGTGCGCCACCACCACCGCCCGGC